GTTTGAACTTTTGCTTGGACATGGCCTTATACAGGGGGTGGCCTTCTAATATAGGGTGGCCGTCTATTTTGGGGGGAGGGCTTTATTGGTTTTGAAAGGAGCAGTCATATTATTTCACAATGCTGCACATTGCGAAATCAGTTTCGCCCTAAGAATCAATCTCATGAATTACTAGAATTCTGCAATTCGATCAAACTTGAATTCGTCTGATTCTAAAATCAACTCTACCGATTCTGGGAATTCCTGTATTTGAGATGTGGGTGTGGATGCGAATGGTAGGAAACGATTCATACCCACAACCACACCCTTGTTTACTTAATATATAGTGATGCAGAAATTGAAAGGAATTCCATCCAATGAAGGAGAGCGATAGATAGAAGTTTATCTAAGATATTGTCATTCCAGAACTGGGCGAAGTTCTTAGAAATTTCGGAATTACAATACCATAGATAGACTTCTTTCTGTCACTCTTCTTCATTCCACTACATTCTGTCATGGAATTGCGGGAAATGGGTAAAGATGAGATAGAACGGAATTCCTTCCAATTCCGGACTTGCTCCAGATTCCAGAATCACAACACCTTAAATAAAATGCTATCTATCACTCCCCTTCTTTCGATTCAATACCACCACGGAATTTCGGGTTTTGAGTCAAGACGGAATTGAACAGAACTTCCGAATCGGAAAGAATTCCTAGGGACTTTAGAGAATTCTGGTAAACTCCGTCCTGACTTGGCTCCCAAAATTATATGGCAGTATTGAGTCGAATGGAGAAGAATGATAGATAGAAGTTTATCTAAGATGTTATAACTACGGAATTAGACGAAATTCCTAGAAATTTCTAAGAACTTCCATTGATTCCGGGGTGAAATTGAATCGAATGGAGCGTGTGATAGATCGAAATTTATCTATGATATACTGATTCTGCAATGTTCAACATCACAGAATTGGATGCACTCTCTCTGAAAGAAAATGTAAAACTGATTTTTTTATGTTAGTGTAGCTAGCTTTTACCTCGATAGAGTACATTTTGAGTTTTGGTGATTCTTGTCCTAATCAGTGATGGTAAAATGTTGCAATTTCAAGACCAATGTATTTTATCTACATTTAAGATACAGACTACCATAAACAAAAAGCAGAAGAATCCATGTAAGCCATCATAATTTGGAGCTTTTAATAAAATATTTCTGGGAGCTATCTTGTATTCGAATTCAATGGGATCCTTGTGGCAACGAATTCATTGGGTGTATCAGCAATAATGTTAGTTTCGATACTTCTCGACCTCAAACATCATTGGTTTTTGTCTGCGGCATAACTAACATAGGTACTAAATCTATAAGTAAGGGTAACTTAAATAAAGAAGACGAAGTCCAAATAAGAATATTTCGGGATGTGGATGTGGGTGTGACTATGTTTGTTAGTGCTCTTATCATCCACATCCACATTCGTGCCTATTCTAGAAGCAATCAACAAGATGTGTTTCAAAGCACGTTTCGTTTTTCATTTATATTCGTTTTAGTATATAAACAACTTCATATTGATTTCTAGAGGTTTATAATGCCAGTTTTATCAACCTATCACCAGCTCGTGTTATTTCATTGTGACGATGATCGACTCAATCTTTTCAAAGATCATGAAAAATATCTCCCTCAAATTCCATCAAATTGCGAATTCTGCATATTTTGGAATGATCTTAAACTTCTTGTGTATGAAAACCTCAAGTGGACTTTTAGAGAGTATTCTCATGTGCATCTTTGTCCATCATATTGCCCACAAAGCGATGATTCGTCTAGTTCAGATCTTTTATCGTTTCTTCAAGAGTTGATACCCAAGTTTGCCTTTGTATTACTCGTACATGGTGATGATAAGTCATATCTTAGTGTTTTCAAGCGTGTCACAAAACAGTATGGAAAAGGAAAATTAGAATTGCAATCAATCAGTAAACCTTTTAGTCGACATTTACCACATATTCTCACTCGACTTCGAAAGAAAAATCGTAACTA